AGGGAAAGGTTAGATAGTGTTTGGTTATTTTAAAGTGGTAGTCTTGGGAAGATGTACTAAAGTGGTTATGTTAGACACCAAATAGCCTCAGAAATACTTGAAAGGACAGCCAGTAGACAGAAGAAAGAATTGAGTTCAAGGCTGAGGGGAGAAAAGTTTGACATATTGAAGGATCAGAGAGGTGATTTAGCTTAGAGAAGTGAGAAAGGAGGGAAATGAGGACAGCTGAAATCAAAGAAAGAATTTTTTCCCCAAATCAATGTAATACATATGGGAGTTCTAAAGAGAAGTGTGAAATAATTTAATTTATGAGATCACCTCTTATGCATCTATTTGTTTTCTCTTGGGTCAGCAGAATTTTTCTTTTTTCCTTTCTTCCTTTAGACACATTATTATTCAAATTTCTTCTCAGTTAACTTATTAATTATACATAATTGAAATTTTTACTATATTAGGCATTCTTGATTTATCAATATTAATTTTTCCTTTATGCTTTAAACAAAATTATGGAAAATTACCTTAGGATAATTGGACTTTACTTAATTCAGGCTCTTTGAATTTTCATATATTTGAAAACCTAGAAGTTATTATTTTACTTATTAATAACTAATACTTTTTACTTATATTTCTTTTCTCATTACTCTGCATAACTGAGTGAATTTTTCTTCCCCCAATCTGGGAATTCTTGTTGGCACCTGAAAAACTCCTTGTTTGTATTTCTTTGAAAGCAGTCTTTATCCCTTTGAGCATACCATTATATATATAACCATTATATATATCTGTATATACATATATATTTTTTTTCTATTCTAGAATTTTTACATATTTTTTCTACCCCCTGTGTTTTCAATATTCTCAGTTAGCTTTGGCTGCATAACAAAATCCAACATTTGTGAACTCAACAGTAATTTACCTCACAGTAGACTCTGTGACTTGGTAATTTGGTCTGAGTTCAATTGAGCTCTGAGTCAGACTTGACTGTTCTTGGATTGGACTTGCCAGGGAATTGTTGTAGACTATTGGGTTAGCTGTGAAACTGATTTAATGCACTCATTTAATTCTCCTCCGAGTGGACTCTTACTAGCAAATTAGTCTCAAAGTGTTTTTGAGGCTGCAAAAGCAGAAGCATAGGAACCCCCTCCTCAGATACTATCCAAAATGAGTTCACCTGCTTTGTTTGGACAAAGGAGGTCACGGGCTAGAACATATACATGGAGTGGATAAATAAACTCCATCTTTTTCTCAAGAGAAGCTGAGAATCACATCCACTGCAGATCATGGTGGCTTTATCTTCCTTCCTGTCCACTGCAGATAACGATTGCTTTATTTTTTCTGTTTATCCACTGCAGATAAGAATGACTTTATTTTTCCTGTCCACCCACTGCAGATAACGATGGATTTATTTTTCCTGTCCAGTTTTTATATTGACATTTCCTTTCACTGCCTGATTGCACTGGCCAGACCACCATGTACAATTCTGAATAAAAGCAGAGGGGAAGATATTCTTGACTTGTTCATCACTGCAGAGGGTAAGAGTTCTTTAAAACTTTTCATCATTAATATTCTGTACTATTTGGTTGATATTTTTAAAGAGACTAAGCAATCATTTTTCCATTGTTAGCTTTTAAACATTTTGCTAGCATTAGTAAAATTAGATACTGGATTTTTATCTAATGCCTTTTCTGCATATATTGTTTATCATGTGATTTTAATTTTAATGTTTTACTGACTACATATTAATGCTAGATCAAAATCAATTGCTACAATAATTCATTGATCTCTGACGATTTCTTATATTTTGCAATATATTATTATATCTATATTGTGGAAAAAGGGTGACTGGTCACTGCTTTTGTGTTTGTTTGGGTCATTATTGTTTTTTAATATAATATACCAGCAAAACTTTGAAGTCAAGGTTATATGATAGGAATTCACCTCTATATCTGGACTTTAGGATACTCAATATAAAGTCAGAATTGCTTCTTTTTTAAAATATCTGATGTAATTAACCAGTGAAATTATCTGGAAAAATTGCCAATTCCATGCAATTATAATGATTATCTTTGTACATTTGTTTGCAATTTTTTCATAATATTAAGGTTTCTGTAGAATGTTTTTATTCTTGAAATTCATTATTCATGAATTCTCTTTTTAATGATAGTCTAAAGTATTTTACCAATTTTATTTAATTTTAACTCTATTAAGAAGCTACTGTTGAGAGAATAAGAGCTATATAGTTACTAGGTTTTCTTTTTTTTTTAAGTTTTTATTTAATGGTGATGGTTCTATAAGGAAAAAAATATTGCACTACCGGACTTAAAGTTTTTAAGGTAATGTGGTAAAAATAATCTATATAATTATCTGTAGGGAAATTGGAAAACCTGAATACTATAGAATCCTAATTAGAAATTTTTAAGGGTTCACCAGACTTCACCAATCACATCCCCTAAATGGGAAGAAGAACAGAATCTTTATCAATGACGACATTAAGTTGGCTAATATGTATAGGAAAAAGTGCTCTGCATCACTTACAGGGAAACACAAATCAAAACAGTGAAATATCATCTTCCACCAGTAGACTAGCACATAGAAAAACAAAAACAACCAGTATTGGCATGGACATAGGAAAAAGAAACTCTTACTGATAGTTGAGTTGTCAACTGATTAAACCTTTGGCAAACAATATTGACACTTCTCAAAAGACTAAGAATTGAGCTTCCATATGATCCAGAAATTGCACTTCTATCTATCCAAAGGGCTCCCAAACTCTATTTAGAAAAGACATTTGAATTACTCTGTTCACTCTATGACTAGTTGCAGTAGTCAAAGTGAAGAAGCAACTCAAGTATCTAAGAACAAGTGACTGGAGGAAACAACTATTGTATGTATAGTTTGAAATGGGTATTTGATCATTGTATAATTGAAACCCAAGTACAAAAATTTGTAAGTCTACAAGTGTACCTCATGGTGTCTCACTGATAAAGGCCCTCCCGTTGATCGTCGATTTACTCGAGCGGGCCCAGTAACGTCTCCATTGGAGACTTTGTTGTTACTGTGTTTGGCATATCGAATACTCTCGGTAGCTTGCCGGGCTCTCCGAGAGGGGCGGAGGAATCGAACTCGGGTCGGCCATGTTGGCTGCTTGTAAGGCGAACGCTCTACCGCTGTGCTATCGCTCCAGCAAAAAAGAAAAAGATACAGCTTAAAAAAAGATAAAAAAGAGATCAATTTGTTTCTAAAATTAAAAAAGCCCTCCCGTTGATCGTCGATTTGCTCGAGCGGGCCCAGTAACATCTCCATTGGAGACTTTGTTGTTACTGTGTCTGGCATATCGAATACTCTCGGTAGCTTGCCGGGCTCTCCGAGAGGGGCGGAGGAATCGAACTCGGGTCGGCCATGTTGGCTGCGTGCAAGGCAAACGCCCTACCCGCTGTGCTATGTCATGCTGAGTGAAGTCAGCCAGAAGAGGGACAGATACAGAATGATCTCTCTCATATGTGGAATATCAAAAAGCATCGTAAGGGAATAATAAACGGACAAAGACAACTGAGAACTGATCTATAGAGTTAAGCTTATCATATAGGGAGATGGTGGAGTTGGGTAGGGGAGGAATGAAGAGGGGAACATGAGATGACAGGGGAGGGAGGCAGACACACTGGTGGAAGTTGTTGGAACATCGTGTGCACCAAACCACATAATTAACAATATTGTAAATCATGGTGGCTAAAATAAAATTTTAAATTAGGCTCAGGGGCTGGAGCAATAGCACATCAGTCAGGGAGTATGCCTTGCACACGGCTGACCCGGGTTCAATTCTCAGCATCCCATATGGTTCCCCTGAGCACCACCAGGAGTAATTCCTGAATGCAGAGCCAGGAGTAAGGTAAAGGTAAGGTAAAGGCCCTCCCATTGATCGTCGATTTGCTCGAGCGGGCCCAGTAACGTCTCCATTGGAGACTTTGTTGTTACCGTGTCTGGCATATCGAATACTCTCGGTAGCTTGCCGGGCTCTCCGAGAGGGGCAGAGGAATCAAACTTGGGTCGGCCATGTTGACTGCGTGCAAGGCAAATGCCCTACGGCTGTGCTATCGGCCTTTTGGGTATAACCCAAAAAGGAAAAAAAGCAAAAAAAAAAAAAAAATGAAAGGAAGGAAGGAAGGAAGGAAGGAAGGAAGGAAGGAAGAAGGGTAAATTAGGCTCAAATGAAAAGCAAAAACAACCCCACAAAAGTGTGTTTTATGAGGCTTTTTTTTTGTTTTTGGATGCATGTATGTTTTGGATATGTACCTCTCACCAGACCTGATGTGAAAATGGCGTCTGCCATTTAATAGGTTGTTTCTGTGTTTTAATGCAAATAATTTTTATGCATAGAAGTTTTTCAATTTGGAGGTTCTTCTTGAAAACTAGGGGAAGTATATCTTAAATGTTTAAACTTAGAAATTCGTATTAAATTCCTCGCCCCTCTCGGAGAGCCTGGCAAGCTACGGTGAGTATCTCGCCCACATGGCAAGCTCCCTGTGACATATTCAATATGTCAAACACAGTAACAAGTCTCACGATGGAGGCGTTACTGGGTCTGCTCGAACAAATCGATGAGCAATGGGAGGACCGTAACTGTGAAAGTTTAGCACAACCCATTTGCTGTTAATAATCCTATTAAAGGAATTAGAATCGGTTCTGGAAATTGTGCTTTTCCGCTGAGTCATATACCTGGTCCCAAAGAAAATAGTTTTTGAATCTTTTTTACTGTGACTTATAATAAGAAATACATTTTGTATTGAGAATGAGTATGATCACACATGCCTAACTGTATTTTCTATTCATTTTCTTCCCTCCAGTGAGACTCTGGCACTAATGACTCTGAATTCACTATCTTTTTCCTGGGCACAGTCAATGTGCCTTTTGAAACTTTAGTGTGAAAAAAAATTAAAAAAAAAAAAAAGAAAAAAGAAACTCTAGTGTGAGAAAAAACTATCCTTCATATATTTAGCATGTGAAATATCTTGCATTTTATTAAAATTTCATAGTTTAGATCTCAGCTTCTAAATTATGAACATTGACACAAATAGACAGAAATAATGACATTACAGCACATCTTAAATTAAACCAATAAGTCAAAATATTTTTTATACTGGAAAATTAAGTGAACATTTCAATGGCATATTATCATCTATTTATATTTTTATTTCAGTGTTCATATATTTTCAACTTTTCTGGTTCTGAAGATCTTTATTAAGAAAAATACATTTGAAAGAAAATACATATTATTTACATTAGAATTTCATTGAAAAAATACAATTTAGGAAAGTAAGGCTTCCTTAAACTGCCCATCGTCCCAACTGAAGATTTATTTTCTTTCATCCAGTACATAAAAGTATCACATAACTTTATAGCTGTATTAAAGATTATTTATAAAAGATATATTTTAATGTATAACAAGTCTTAAAATATATGATGTATTTTTCAGTTCTACTCAGTATTTGATTTTTAACATTCATATAGTTTATAAATTTGATTAAAAATATCTGACACACAAAGGATTCTGCAGGCTGACAGTATGAAAATTATCTGTAAATAAAAAAGTTGTAGCTATGGCTTTGAAATTACAGTGGGAAATAATGTAAAGTAAGTGATTCTCTCCATGCATGTATCATTTCCTACTTGCTTACTGCCCCAATATACAAACAAGTTTGTGCCAGATTATATTCTGTTCATTTCATGATGTTTCTCAAACACAGTATATAAAACCAGCAGTTATCCATATTCAAATTCCTCCTAAGCTGACAGAAATAATTCTATGGTATAATTAGAACAGGACAATGACAACACACTGGTACTCGTAAGAAATCCTTGTCAATCACACATGAATGGATTTTGCTTCCAGCTGGGTACTCTCCATAGACTTAGCAGGCAGAGTGAATTACTTATACAATATTTCTATGAGTAAAAAATTGATTTGGAAATCTTATGCTTTTACTATTATTTGCATTAGTTACTGCTTGCAAATCGTGTTATCCAAAGCAGCTATTTTTTATAACTTACAGGGGAAAAAATATCAAAACATGACAGCTATTTTCTCCTTTGATAGTGGAAGTTTTGAGCATACAAAAATGTTTATAGTTGAAGCTCTAAAAAAGTAATCTCATAGCTATTATATAAAACTAAGACACTTGGGGGCGGGGAGGTTGTATTGAAAGGTAGGCACTTCTTTGTCTGGTGCAATGCAGCACTGTAGCACTGTCCTCCCTTTGTTCATTGATTTGCTCAAGCAGGCACCAGTAACGTCTCCATCGTGAGACTTATTACTGTGTTTGGCATATCAAATACATCATGGGTAGCTTGCCAGGCTTTGCCGAGCGGGTGAAATACTCCTGATAGCTTATGGGGCTCTCTGAGAGGGGCAGAGGAATTGAACTCAAGTCGGCTGCATGGGCCACGTGGGCTGCGTGCAAGGCAAATGCCCTAACCGCTGTGCTATTGCTCCATTATCTAGTAAAGTAAAGTAAAGGCCCTCCCGTTGATCGTCGATTTGCTCGAGCGGGCCCAGTAACGTCTCCATTGGAGACTTTGTTGTTACTGTGTCTGGCATATCGAATACTCTCGGTAGCTTGCCGGGCTCTCCGAGAAGGGCGGAGGAATCGAACTCTGGTCGGCCATGTTGGCTGCGTGCGCTCCAGCCCCATTATCGAGTGCAAGAAAATAAATTTGAAAAACATCTTATTTGTATTTTTTCTGAATGGGCCTATCTTAAATATAATGTTTGAGGAAGACAAACTTCTTTTTGTGAAAGGTTTCATTCCTGAGATTCTTTTAAAAATCAACTGATATTCTTTAAAGTAAGCAAAGACTAAAGAATTATTTTCCTACATGGGAGGATGAACCATGGATCAACAGTCTCAGCCTGCTATTTTTTTTTTTATTTTATTCATACATTTCATAGATTTTTTTTTCACCTGGGATATATTTATATTAAAATTAGTTTTCAATTACTGGTCCCCAAATATGCCACATGTTTATAGAGCTTGTATGTTCAGCTAAAGGATGGCAGATGAGCAATAGCCACTGTTCTAAAAACATCTGCCATTGTCGGTTTCAGTCTCCTTTTAAAGTGCCAACAGAGAAATTAAATAAGTTTTTTTTACATCTGGTTTTATTTAAATAACAATTCAAGTATCTCCTTTAAAAGAATGTTCCAAAAATATTAATATTTATGAAACATAAATTTAAATACATTTTCTGAGAGGCAGAATATTCTTTGAATATCCCTTGTTTTGTTTATTTAGGCTCTAAAGATCAAAACCAAGCTTTGGCCTTTATCTTTGAGAGCATATTATTTTCTCATCCATGTACTTAACTAACCACTTAGGGAAAAATTAACATCAAATGCATGAAGGAATGCTTCAAACAAAAGCATTTAACTTAGAAAGCTTTATTCAAATGAAGATATGACCTGAATGTAAGTCATTGGTGCTCACTTCCTTATGGATGATATGAAAGAGGTTTCACTGAGTTTTTGATTGGAAAGGAGTTGTTTCATAGTCTTGGAAGTGAATTCCTTTAGAAGTTGTGATCTTCATAATAGCGCCATTTAAATCATCATTTTCAATGAGTGCTATTAATCCATTGGCTATCATGGATGGGCTAAAAACAAAGAAAAAAGTTGGTGTCTTAAAACAAAAGAACAAGGCATAGCTATCACTTCTTGAGTTACTTTTGAAGAATTACTATCATTAAAACATAATAGGAAATATATATATCATATTATTATCCTCTGGTCTTCATTTAATTAGCTATTAACTAAATCAAATTTAATTGATTTGATATATTTCTATGCTGAATTTTGTCCTTGGAAAGAAGTTTTTATAATTTTACTTTTATTATCTTCACTGATTAAATAATTCTTTTTTTATTATTATTTTACCAGCAAGTTTTAAACATCAGATAGAAATGTCATTAGAGTATAAATATGAGGAATTTTGGCTACTATTCTTAGCTACTACTATTAGCTGGTTCAAAGATATTACAATTGAAATCAATACTGAAAACGTGTCTGGGCAGGAATCTTTGAAAATGGAGAGTCCCCTTCTTTTTCTCAAGGATTACAGGGTAGAAAGTGTGCCTTGGGATATTAGCTGTGGGTGGAGTTTATTGATTAGTTTGCTTCTTACCAACCTATACCTCACCCTTCCTCACCATTCCCTGCTTTCTGTCTGCATAACAACTGCTTCTTTTCACCAGGCAGACAAGATGATCTTTTTAAAACACAAATTTGTCATTTTCTCAGATTTCTGACTTCTAAATAAACCTGTTTTCTACAAATCGATTTTTGTCTCTTGAATTTGTCTTTTGTCTTCAAGCATTGAATATAGGTTGGTTAACAAAGAACTGAAAGTCTGCTACTGTATCTATTGCTGTCCTAACTTAAAAGAACCAACTTATCCATGAAATTTCAAAAATCCTTCAAGTTTGAAAAATTTCAAACTTAGGAAAAATTTAGGAAATTTAGGAAAATTTCACATAGGAAAAATTGAGGTACCTGGGGGGAGGATTAAACATGATTATGACTGTTGGTGGAAGCATAATTTAATCCCAGATGGTCTAATTTCCCTGACATGGTGACTAAGAGTGCACTATAAAATCCCAATTATTCTGAGACATCATTAACCAAGTCTGTGTTAATCAATTTTTTCTTATAAAGTGGCTGTTAAGAAGACATACGTGTTTCAAAGGGGTTGATGTTAATATTGCTAAGAATGTAAGCAGGTAAGGAATTAATTACTTCTTCCAAGTGTAAATAAAGATAACTTAAGATATCTGATTATATCTTCACATATTAACAATACATTGTCTAAGTCTTATTGCACAACTCATATTGTATACAGGTATTATATTCAGAAACCCCAAAGAGACATTTTCCTGCAGAAAGTTCACCAAACAAACATTTCTAATTTGTATTAATTTCTTGCATTAATTTCTCCCATTTAGAACCCTTGTTTGCATGGCTTATGCCTAGATAGTATTTTGCTCCATGATATTAAAGAAGCAAAGTGTTACTTACTCCAAAATTCCATAGAATTTCATCATGTCTTTAATATGACCTGCATATTCTATGTATTGTCCCATGTTCTCTTCTTTTTCAATGGACTGGAGAATGGGAGTGTTCACAAAACCTGGGCAAATAGCATTTACTCTCACGCCACTGCTCATCAGATTAGCAGCCAGCTGTTAATGAGAAGCAGAAAGAAGTTTGCTTGCAGTTCTCAGTCATTTTATAAAATGTAGAATACAGAACAAGCTGAACCCTAAAACTGAAAGACTCTAATGTGAAAAATACTGGTCAGATACCCTTCGAGCTCCATGTGATCACAATGGCAGGTGACAAAAAGTAAAACAATTATACCTAAGGTGCTGAACTACATTCATTTTTTATCTTTATTACAGGCTATTTTTTTTCTTTTTGGGCCACACCCGGTGATGCTCAGGGATTACTCCTGGCTCACGCACTCAGGAATTACTCTTGGTGGTGCTCGGGGGACCATATGGGATGCTGGGAACTGAATCCAGATTAGCTGAGTGGAAGGTAAACACCCTACTGGATATGGTATTACTCCAGCCCCAGGCTATTTTGTTTTATTTAATAAAATTGTGATAATTATTTCAAATATGTCCTTACTATTCTGGTTGATGGGAGAGATTAAAAAAAAAGATGCAGCACATGCCTAGCATGCATTATGCTCCAGGTTTGATAATTGGCACTTCCTAACCTGAGCACCACAGGGTGTGAATAAATATCATGACCACTTGGCATCACTGGGACCAACCTTTAGGCCTACTGTTCAGAACACTGAACCACCAGCCTGCACAGCTGGAGTAAATATTGCTGGGAGCGATTCCTGTATCCCTTGGTCACTGCTTGGGAGTTTTCAAAGGAAAAGAAAATGTCCCAATTACCGAGGCCACAAACCTAAGCTGCTCTTCTGTGTTAAAGTAGCAAACTGAAGAAGTGGAGGCAGAGGATACTATGCTTTCTCAAGACTTTGGGGCTGAATGACAAATACTTGCTCAAAAATAGTGAAAGTTTTAGGACTGATCAATTCTAACCTCTGTTGCCTCAAAGATAATTTAACTGCTTCAGACTAACAACATCCTTTGGTTTCAATCTCAGCCCGTGCATTTGAACTATCTATAAGAACAAACTGGAGTTGCCATTGATTATTTGTAAAAACGTGTTTGCTTGCTTGCAAAAATCTATGTGGAAACGCAGAAATTCTACTCATGGAGTTTTGGGACCACGTGTGAATTTCAAGAGCAGTGAGAATTGTGTGTTGTACAACTAGAAGTTTCACAAGATAAACAAAAGAAAAAAAGTTTGACTTAATGGCTCTAGCCGTTGTTTCATAGACAAGTATCTATTTCATTCTATTTAAGCTCTGTTTTCCCTAAATTTTGCATTTTGTTGGTGATTTTACTGTTTATTACTTTACATTGGGACTTGGGGACAGGCTGGTTACCCCCCTCTACTGTTGGTGGGACTGGGAATTGAATCCAATACTCTGCATGCGGAGCAGATGCTCGGCACTTTAAGCTTTCCCTCCAGGCCAATTTTGTCTTAAGATTGTTTCCTGAGAATAATTATGAAATGTTGTTTGATGCTCCCAGGAGGGCTGTGATGTGTGTTACACAGAATATACCTGTTGGACAAACTTCATTCAGAGATGAGTTACGAGCCACTAGCCATGTTAGCTATAATATGACACAGTTCACATTGCATAAGATATCTTTACACAGAAACACACACACACACACACACACACACACACACACACACAGAAAAACTGCTTGTACACTGAGTGGTTTATCTACTATTGTGGCCAGAAGCTTACAGAAACGTAACCTGTATCTCCCTTACCTGCAATAGTTCATAACGTACTGATTCAGGATTTAAAGAGAGTATACAGAGCACCACTAATAGAAGTGTACATTTTCAGTCTAGTCATTTTAAACACCACCTTCCTGTATTTCAGGTTTATTTTGCTTTGTAGTGATTTTATATGATCACTGAAAGTTAAATTAAAAGATAAAGTATTTGCAAATTAAATACAAAATCCAAGTCCAGAGTGAGAGAGCAGTTTTATCTTTTTTTTTGATTGAACATTGCACATGTACACATCTGTTCTCCAATCCCTATGGCTGCTTCTTCTGTTCACATTTTCCTCTTTATCTGTCTGGCCCTGCACTTTGTCTCACCTAGAATAACTTCTGCCTGGTTAGGAGTTCTTTCCAACAGTCCTTCGCTCTTCTACACCTGTCCTCTTTAATATAGTCTCAAAATAGCTGCCAGATGGTCTTAGAAATTGAAATTTAATCTTGTCACTCTGGTGTGTGAATGAACCATTGATGGCTGCTTTGAGAATAAAATCTAAGCTTATTACCTCGGCCCATAAGCTGCCTCTGGTCTGATCCTCCGGCCAAACCTCATCTTACTTTGCCCTTACTCAAGAGATAACGTCCAGGCTGCCTTTCCACTGACCCTAACGCATCTAAAAAAGCAGTATTCTCCCTTCAAGCTATCAATGCATGCGATCAGTTAGATATAAAATATTTTCCTAAGATCTTAGGCCTCCCTGGACCTAAGCAAGTAAAAACCCCGTAGCAAGTAAAAACTGCCCATTGCTCCTGCCAGTGCCTTGCTCTCACTCAATTTATTCATTTCCTGTATGACAAGTAATGCCTGAACCACACTTTATTTTCTATTCAAGTTCTGTAAGTTAAATCTTGGAGTCAATTTTAAGAATAAAGCAAACTTTCTCAATATTGATCCTTAGGTTTTGACATGTGTGTGTGTGTGTGTGTGTGTATGTATGTATGTATGTATGTTTTTTTTATGGTGCTGGAAGCCAGGGCATTACACATGCAAGGCAGGTGCTCTAGTCTTCTTTCTCAACAACACATCTGCATTTAGAATACTCCATGTTAAAATTATCTGTTCTTACTCCTCCTTGATACGATCTTAAAGTGATTTTTATAAAAAACACAGATGCAAATCATTTTCTCATCTTTTATCCAGATGTACTGAACTCTGAATTTATTCCCTCCTGTGTCAGAGAATGCGTGTTTCCTGGATGTGCAGAGAAAGAAAGAGATATCGTGGTTATCTCCTTACCGCAGCGGAGCGTGTGAATCCAACGACACCATGCTTCGAGGCACAGTAAACAGGCTGCTGAGCAACAGGCATGAGCCCTGAAGCAAACAAATAAAGAATATCAGTAATGCCATTAACAGCCAAAGCAGACGAAAGCCCCTCCTTGCTTTATAAATGATTGAGTTCACATTGATCGATGTGTTCACCACCAGAGAGCTTTGTAAAACTCAGAGTCCAGCAGAGCTCATTACTCCCTGGACCTCTATCATTCTGTCCGGCATTTATGGAGTTAAAGAAATCTGGGGAACCAATACTCCTATGCTGTGGCCCCTTGCCTCAACATACTGCAAGCCATATTCTCTCTCCTAAACTGCCACCTTTGTCTGAGCACAGTCCCTAGCTCCAGCAAATGACTGGCAACAGGTGGGCTGACACGCAATCTTCTTTCCAGACTTTGCTTCCCAAATCCCAAATTGACGATATTAGGGTTCTGCAATGCAGCAAATAAGCCAGAGCGTGTGAACTTCGCACTGTATGACCTTGCACGGCCACCGTAATTTCTGTGGTGGAACAGGATGAGGACGGGGAAGGAGATGGCTCAAAGGGCTGAAGGATGAAAAAATGAAGGATTGTGGATTTGATTCCTGACACCTGAGCATCACTGGATTTGTCCTTTCTTCAAAAAGGACTTAACAACAAAAAAAGGAGGCACCTATGTCTCATATTCAAAGACATAATTTTCACCCCCTACTACTCAGATTGGTTCCTCCCCAAATAATTGTCCTCTGGAAAGTTCCTGATGGTCTGGTTTTGGCTTTTTGTAGGATGAATAATAAGCCTGGTTTTGTGTGCCAGGATGTTGTGAAATTCAAGGGTCCCTTTTCCTAGAAGAATTGCACTTGTCCACCTAGAACATAATCGGTTGTTTGTTTCTTTGTTTCTGATTGGAGTGAGAAACACTGTGTCCCCAAACAGACTGGCAATACTCATTGGAGACTGCCTGAAGTTTTCCTCAAAGTGGGCCTAAAATGCCTCCTGGTCTCAAGAGAGGTGAAGAGTTTTGGGGTGTCCACGGCCTGGATCATCTCTTCACAAAGTGGCCATTGGGTCAAGTGGCCAGGCTGAAGAAAACAACCCTGAGGAAGAGTGCTGGGCAGAGAGGCTGTCTGCTTCCCAGCCCCAGGGAAAGATCCTTTATTGACTGGATCCATTGACTTTCTTTCCTTTCCTTGTGATTGGAAAACTATGGGAGACAATTTGTCCCTCCCAAAGAGCTCCCCCACTCCCCTTCAGATGCATTCTCAACAGCTGGAGGCAACCAAGGTAAAATATTTTCCCATAACACTGCATGTACCTTATACTTGTGAAGTCAGGTTAAAAGGGGACAGAGCATGGCTCCCCATTTTATACACCCCTCCCATGGGAATCAGAGGGAGAGAATTGAGGTTCAGTGCAAATCATGAACCATAATCCCTTCATTATCTTTCTGGCCTGTATTGTTCTATGTCAAGATGAACTTAATATTTTTCCCAAACACAGGCCCCTCCCATCCCACACACATTCTAAAGGTTTAGTATGTATGTATTGTTTGAGGACCACACCCAGTGATGCTCAGAGGTTACTTCTGGTGGTGCTCAGGGAATAACCCTGGAGGTGCTAGGGGGACCATATGGGATACTGGGGATTGAACCTGGGTCAGTTACATGCAAGGCAAGTGCCCTCCCGACTGTGCTTCAGCCCCACATCTTAAAGTTTTAAAAGATCTTGAGGATTGCAGTCCGGGGAAGGGCTTGTTCAATGATCCTAATGGGTACCTGCAGAACTGCCCGAGGTTTATGCTGAGGCCAGGGGTGCTCAGAGAGTTCCCTACCTGCTCCCTAGCTGACGAGCTGAGAGCCACCAACCTCCTCTGTGATGAGACATCCCTAAGGAACCAGGGGCCATTGCTAGTGCCAGCCAAGGGAGCCACAGAATCTTCCTGGGGTTCCCCAAGACTGACAGTTACCAAGGGACAATGGACATGCCCCCTTTGGGAAAGTCTTCCCTCCCTTTGCTGCCTAATTTCAAGCAAGCAGCCTGCCCACCCCTTGGTAATGTCCTCTAAGATAGGCACCTGCTCTATTCACTGTGGATGATCAGGATGTGGGCATTCAGAGCTTTTGACCACCACGGCCTTGTATTGTTGGCAGCAAAGTACCCGTTCTAATCTGGAGGAAGCCAGTAAGGTGTAGTTTATTGTGTGGGAGCTGCTTATCTTTGCTGCTTACCAGTCTGCCTGGCAGTGTGGGTGGGGACAAGAGGGGATACGCAAAATCTTTTCAAAGGTTTCTTAACCTCTGAGAAGTGCAATGCAGCCCTGCAAAAGGTTAGGGTGGGGGCAGCCTTCTGTCCAGGTCGGCAGCCACTGAAGTGCAGCAAAACTGTTCTAGACAGGATTTCTCTGCACTGGCACCCAGAGGGCAGGGATGAAGGCAGAGGTCAACATTGCCAAGGTGATGTGTTAGTGGGAGCACTGAAGAAGATAAAGTGTTGAACAAGGGGTATGAAGAAAAAGTCAAATAAAAAGCCTTCCTCATTCTTAGAAGGGATATGGAGCTTCAGTGGCAATATCCTGACCTGGGCCTCTCTTCCCCTCTACCCCTCACCCCTCCACCCCCTGCAAGTCCTAAACAAGCCTGATGGATGAATTTTCCTTTGATGAGTCACAGGAGACCAGATATTTGACAGAAACCTCAAGCGTTCGAAAGGCCTCTAACACTGCCTCAGCCCACTTGGCAGAAGTCGCCTGGAAAGTTTTCTTTATTATGAAAGTTCAGAGGCAACAAAGGTTAAAACAGCTGCCTTGGCCGTGAACTCACGGAAAGCAAGAAAGTGGGTAAAGGCGGGCGCCAAGGGCCCAGATTGAAAAAACCATGCGTTGACTGCAGGAAATCTGGCACTGGACCAAGGATCATCCCAAAGGGGAAGGAGGAGGATAGTTCCTGGAGTGGGCTCAGACGCCAGCTCTCGGGAATGAGGAAGCCCAGACACACCCCAGCAGCTCCCCGCACCATGGCACCATTGGTCGCTTTAATTCCACAGGTGCCTCTGGACATTTGAAAGCGGGTGGTCTGAACCCGCTCTAAAATGAACCCATTCCGGAGCACCTTCTTTAGGATGTCAAATGGCTTCAACTGGCAAAGAACCAGCTCTTAAACCTGGACTAATCTTAAAGGCCTCTGGCCTGTGAAATGGTTGAGACTGCTGGAAAATGTAGTTTTCTTTTTTAATTTGCTCAAACACTTCCTTTCCTGGGAAGAGACTCACTAACTCGAACGCACAAGTGGATTGTCATGTAGGGTGCTGTGATCTCAAAGTCTCTCTTTACTTTGGGGGGGGGGCTGGGTCATACCCAGAAGTACTTAGGCTAGAGTACTCCTGGTTCTGTGATCAGAGATTATTTCTGACAGTGCTGAGGGCCCCTATTATCGGAGATCATGGCAGTGCTACCAAAACTGTATAAAGAATAATTTTGAAATCATTTACCATCTAATCTTCTGTGTTTAACCTTCAGAGAAATTTTTGGAAAATTACTACAGATCAACATTTCAAAATAAGCACAGAAATTACTTGTAATTTTTAAAAACAATCAGAAGCAAAATTTAGTATAATTAGTGACAAAAATTATGTTAACTTATTACAAAAAAATATCTCTAAATTCCAGTTTATCAATTTAATGTTTTTTAGCCACTTAGGAACCTTTATATTAGAAACATTTTATGTATTGTTCAAGGAGAAAGTAGTCTAGAAGCTATTCCTCTCTTTCTCCTAATTATCAATTCTTTAATCACCAGAGACATCTGTACCTAGAGCCATTTCTCCATTTCAATTTTGAATTTCTCCTTTTAGTTTCTTGAATGAACAAAATGCTTATGTTTTATAGTCAAATTTGTGATTTCAGACACAGCGATCTCTGGATAATGTTATTACTATTGAATGTCACGCTAATAATAGTAACTTATTGGGGTGAGGCCTGGACCTCTCCACCCAACTAACTAGTCCCAGAGCTCCACTGATGTGCTGAGTGTGAGGTGTCAAAGTTCAGCAATAAATGCAGACCAGAGCCACTCCCTGGGTGTCCGCCCACCAATTTATAAAGTATGTTTGTTCAAGAGCACTTTAACCTCTCAAGGATGTTCCACCACACATACCATGTTCATCCAATGGTTTCAATGTACTGTACTATGTACTATGTACTGAGTACTGCGGTTCTCTCTCTCTCTCTCTCTCTCTCTCTCTCTCTCTCTCTCTGTGTGCGTGTGTGTGTGTGTGTGTGTGTGTGTGTGTGTGTGTGTGTGTTTGGTTTTAAAGTAAAGGAGTTGCAAACCACAATATCCAAAAGGGGAGAAAGAGAAAGAGAGAGAGACAGGGACACACAGAAAGACATAGAGAGAGAGAGACAGAGAGAGAAAGGTTCTTGCCATCAAGGCAGGTTGGGAAGTGAAGGGTGATGGGAGGGAACTGGACACACTTGTGCTGGGAAATGTACATGGGTCGAGGGATGGGTGCTGGAACACTGTAGAACTGAAACCCAATCATGAACAGCATTGTAAGGGTCTATCTCATAGGGATTCAATAAAAAAAATTAAAAAGCACTAATATTAAAAAAAAAAGAAATAAAGCCAAATGTGTAAGTTAAGTAAGTCTGTCCAGGTCTTTCAGCAAAAATTTATGATTCTACCCTGGTGCCCAGGTGTAGTTGAAGTTCAAATAGAAAGGCAGGAACAGATGTGTCCAGGTGTGGCTGCTTCTCCTTCTGATAAATGAGCAGTTGATTTTGCCACTGCTTCCATGTTTACACGGCAAAGGGAGCAGTTGTGGAAGGGTGTTTCTGACTAGCAGGAAATGTAGTGTGAACCTTAATGAGAGATAAGCTCCTTGACACAGCCACAGAACACACAAGTTTATAAATGTTGTCAGAGACAAATTTGGAAGGGATTTTGGACACCAAATAGGTGGAGGTACTGAACTTCTGAACCCGAGCTAGTTCAAAGTGTCACAGGAGGGAAATCCATCAAACTGTTCGGTTGTTTCTCGAAGAAGCGAGCACAAAACACAT